ATAAATACATTTCCACGAACAAAATCCTACATCATATTGTATTCTGAAGGGATTATCTCAGATTGTTTTCGAGTTACCCATGGCTCATATTGAACGACTTACCCATGGCTAATATTGACTATTTTAGATTGGGTCATGCTAAATTATTATACATACTACCTCCAATCCAAATTACTCGCAACTTTGGGGTATTATTTGTGAGATATAAAATATTTCAAAGTTGCGAGTAATTTGGATCGAAGGTAGTATTATTATATCAACATATGTAGATATCTAGATCATGTTACTTTGAGTTTGAGTCAATTTTCGACACCTCTAGACTATCAGCTTGAGTGGCGAAGCGTGATGGGGCAAGGTAAGATGGATACAAGTCGTACGAAGGGTCTGTTCACATTTACTGAGCTGAACTAAACTAAGCTGATTGGAGCTGAACTGAATTGAACAGAACTGGGTAGAACTGAAATGAATGTTTTATGAGAGAAGGAAATTAGGAGCTAAATTGAATTGGACTTAACTGACTTGAATAACGCTGAAGTGAACATGCCCTAACTTTACTTCACACATGAGAGGTGTCGAATCGGGTGATTGAATCGGCTCTTAGATCGGGTCTGGTCAGGTTCAATTGAAGTTTGAGTCATAATACACCATTTAACCATACTAGTCAATATTTTGATCAAATTACTTTTTGACACCTCTACCCTTGAATAGTGAGTACCCCATAGCATATGACTTATTAAATACTCCCTCCGTCCCCTTTTGATAGTTCTTTATGGACATTTTTCATGGGAATTAATAAACACAAATAAGAATAGTTAAAGTATATTGAAAATGTAAATTGATATTGGGTATGTAAAAAAGTAGAGAGAGAAAGTAATAAAAGAACATGGGAAAACAAAATTTACATGGAAAAGTTAAATTTGCACAAATATTGTTGCAAATTAGAGGGAATTTTGGTAAAAATTAATATTAATAGTTGTTGAAAAACGCAAATAGGGTGAACATTTTAAGACTAAAATTTGTTTATAAGGAGGAACCAGGGGAGTATTAAAATATCTTAAAATATGCAAAAATTATCAAATGAATGATGCACCTAGCTCTAAACTCTTTAATCTGGAATCTTTAAATGTACAAATTTCACAAGCCATTGGGCCATCTTCCTAAAAAAAAGTAGGAAGAGAACAACTTTATTTAATAATATTGGTAATGAGGATTGAGGACATCTTTAAAATATTCATATTCTTTGTTTTCATAGTACGGAATTATTGCTCTCAAATTTCAAACCAAAACCGTTTAACTGCCCGAAACCGACCAACCCAAATGAGAACCGAACCGATTAAAAACCGATTTTTTTGAAACCGAAAACCGACCCGAACCGTATTTTAGTAAACCCAAAACCGAATCGACTCGAATAATGTTAAACCGTATAAGAACTGAACCCGTTAACAAACCGAACCAAATATAAACCGAACTGAAAGAAAACCAAACCGAAAAAGAACCGAACCGTATCTAACCCGAAACCAGTTCCAACCCGAAACCGTTTAAACTGGCAAAAAAACCGCTTACACCGAACCGTTAGCAAACTGCTACCCGTTTGCACCGAACCATTTAAAAACCGAACTGATTGTAAACCGAACTGGTTATAAACCGAACCGTTTATGAACCAAACCGCTTCTAAATCGAACCGTTTACAAACTTTTTTAGATAAATAAATGGATTTTTTTTACGGGAATATAATTAAATGGATTAATATTAGAAATCTTAGAATATTTTTTTAAAAATAGCAAGGCAAATCATTCATTAAGGTCTTAAGGATAATCAATATTACCTTGTTAATCAGTCATTAGTGTTTTCTTTCATTATACAAATCAAAGCACTTTGTAATATCTTCATAATTTCATGAAAATATATAATGATAAACGAGTCATAATTATCAATCTCGTTGACTAATCAAGTATCGAATTACCAAATTGCAAATTTCCATTTCACAAGATCTCATCAAATCATGATTATGATACTATGCGTAGTATATAAATGATTAAATAACAAGCATATAATAACCTAATTGTAAAACAATAATACATTAATACACTAACTCTTACAATCTACTTCGTAATAAACTAGTAAGATCAGTATCACTAAATTTGAAACAGAACATAATATGTATTTATAAAATCAATGAGAATTTGTTTATAATATGATGCCTAAATATGAAATAATTCGCGACTTTATATAAAACTTGTGAACGCAAAAGGTTAGCAAGTACTATCAAATTTCAAACCAAAACCATTTAACTGCCCGAATCCAAACAACTTGATAAACAATTTATTTTTTGAAACTGAAAACCGACCCGAACCGTAATTTAGTAAACTTGAAATGGAACCGATATGAATAACGTTAAAGTGGTTAAACCATCGAAGAACCGAACCAGTTATAAACTAAACCGAAAAAGAACCGAACCAGTTAAAAACTGAACCGAAAAAGAACCGAACCAGTTATAAACTGAATAAAAAAAGAACCGAACTGTTTCTAACCCGAAACCGTTTCCAATCCGAAACTGTTTGAACCGGGATAAAAACCGTTTACACCGCATCGTTAACAAACCGCAACCCGTCTGCACCGAACTGTTTACTACCCGGACTGTTTACAACCCGGACCGAATTAAAACCGCTTAAGAATAAACCGAAACCGAATCGAACCGATAACTATTTAAACCGAACCAAAACCGACCCGTGAAACAATTAAACCGATTCCAAACCGACCCGATTAAATACTGAACCGATTTCAAACCGAACCGAAACCGAACTGTCAAACCGTTTTGACCATGCTATACGGAATATATATGAATTTATGATCAATTCACGCCTCCAACATCGGAACATTCCAAAAAATATAATAGGCCGTCGCCAATTCGCCGAAGCAAGTAATGCAAAATACGAGTACTATAATATCTTGATTACTGTTACATTTGTACTCCATTAATGTGAGACACTCAACCAATTTCAGGTACATTTATTTTCTTAATTACTGTCATTTCTCTGTTACATTTACAGTTCTTATCAATTTTACTCGAATTCTGCTTTGTTTGTTCACCATTCTTTGTTTCTTTCAAGTACAGTGCTTTATAGGGATTAAAAAAGACTTGATTATCTTTTATTTGGGGTTTTTATTCCATGTTTTTTTGGGTTTTGATCAATGATATAATTTAGATATTTAAGCAGCAGAAATTTATCGTAGGAAAATCAATGTTACTATTTAGTAATTAGAGTTGAATGATTGCTACATTTTATCTGGAAATTCATGTTTTTTTTTTTTTTTTTTTTTTTTGGGTACTGAATTTGTTAGGTTTATTCATTTACAATGTTGTTTTTTGTATGTGTCAATACCCTTTTTAATTTGGGAGTTATTGAATCTTGCAATAGTTTTTTTGGGCTTAAATATATAATATGAGCATTTCATAATTGCATAATGTCACCTTGATTGAACTTTAGGTGTCTTATTTATATATGTAGGGTACCCTTAATCTTAGAGGAAGCCTTGTTTAGGAGTCCTCTTTTGGCTTTATTGGTAATGTTTGTTGATTGGGACTTCAGGGCACAATTATGTAACTGGGTCATATCTTGAATCCTTAACAGAATTGACAATGCTCCTTACATTCCTAGGAAGAAAATTGACCGAATTGTTTTACTCCCTCTGCCAATAAATAAAGTTTGTGCTTTGATTTGGCGCGATGATTAATTATATACTACGCGGGTGTTAAATGTGACTGAAAAGATTAGTAATGAGCAGGTAGTGATAATTGTGTGAATGTATTAGGATGGAGGCAAAAAAAGGAATGGTGGGATTGAGAAAGAAATGCTAAAAGTAGAGCTTCAAATTTAACTAGGTAGTACTTGACTAGGTGAATTAATAATGTTAAGATTATTTTAGGACATCCCAATAAGGAGAGTGTGACAATGTTGATGTATGAATGTTGGCACATGTATTTTATTTGTTGTTTGGTGACAGTCTTACATTGAAACTTTGTACTTTTCCATTGCATTGAATTGATATTTAGGGGGTTTCTCCCTTTTTTATTGTATCTCCCCAGTATATAACCTGGATCATGAAGGTTCGTTGAAAATTTTGATTTCACTTCCACATGACTAATGCATATACGAATTGCTATATTCATTTACTAGTGTTTTTCTTGTACAACTACGGTGTCAATCTAGAAGGGAAATTGTTTTCTGGTTGCCCTGTTCAATCACCACAGCATTGGGGATTATTGATCATTAACAACTGGTGTATTGAATAGGATTGTTATGCAGCTTTGAATTTGGATATGAATATCTCCTATGATTGTTTGGAGTTTATAAGACCGTGGACATTTAACATTTTGCAATAAATTATTAACCAAATTAAGATAAATTTATGTCAATATCCTTAAATGCGTCTTTACAACACAACTTGCATTTGTCTTTGTTAATTTTAATACTACTATTAAACCGTAGATGGATATCTCATATCATATTATCATATGGATATGGTTAAGTAAGTTTTACTCCGTATTAGATAATAATGAAGCAAAAAATCATGAACATGGGCTTGTGGAAACTCAACATGTAAAATTATATATTATGTAGTGTATACTGTAATTTCATTATCATTATTCTTTTGCAATAGTACTGCATTTACCGAATGAACCATCAAATGTAAAAAACATATGGCTGAAAAAATTAGCACTTGGATTGTATTTACTGTTTTTCTGTTATTGTGCTTATGCTGTATGTCCTTGTGTTAGACTCTTTACAACATCTGTTCAACCAAAAATGACTAGATATAAACTGTGATATTATCTTGATTGTATGAATGTTTAACCACTCTGTTCTCTCCTTTTTCATGGTCTATAATTATGTCAACTGTTTCTTTTCTTCACACCATTATATACTCTCTCTCAGAAGCAGGTAAGCTTACAGTCTTGCACTCTTACAGGGAAGTAGGCAATAAGTATTCTTGTGAAAATGGGTGAAAGATCAAAACATACCTCCATGTTACCGGATTTGCATAGTCTACTTAACTATTCTTCTATACCGTACCAAAATTTGTCTTGGAACTTACCAAGAAATCCTGCCCTTATTGCACACAAAATCACCTCCCAACAATCCCCAAACTCACCGCCTGCCTCCTCTGTGGTTGCTCCAAATACACACTCCAACCCTCGTAAACAGAATCATGTATCCATGCCTGTTGGATTATTTCGCTGTGCCTCCCATGTTGCTGCAGTGATAGTGGCGGCTCCTATTGAACGGGTCTGGATCCTTATGCAATGTCAAAATGAGATGATAAAATATGGTCGTCTCTCTAGTCCCTACAAGGGAATGAAAGACTGCTTTATGAGAACCATAAAAAATGAAGGCTTCCTTTCCCTTTGGCGTGGCAGCAGCATAAGTGTGATAGGAAGCTTGACAGCTTTTTTGACTCGTGAAGTCGTTTTCCCAATCACACCTCGTTTTTGGCAGTTGCCACTTTGGATGTTGAATTGTCAGTTTCTTTATCCACTCTATTATGCTCGAGTTCGTCTTGCTAATGATGTCAAAGCTGCTCAAAAATTTTACTTTTCTTTGGACTCCACTAAAAGTAGTTTCAGCAATGACGGTGTTGGCAGTAGGAAGTTCAGTGGTGCTTCTGATGTTCTCTACAAGACACTTAAATCGGAAGGCATAGTTGGTCTCTGTCGAGGATTCCTTCCTGCATGCCTTGGGGTTTTTGGATCATATCTGTGTGGTGAATGGGTCAAATCTGTGGCGATGCAGAACAAGGGTTTTTTTTTTTTTTTTTTTTTTTTTTTTTTTTTTTTTTTTTTACCTCATTAAGCATTCTTTCATTTTAGTTGCTTTACTTGAAATTTTGAGGACTATCTATCAATTCTCTTTACTGTTGTCAAATCCATGCTGCATGGGTTTTTCATTCTAGTCCTTGGTTCAGTTGATTGGTAATCGAATTGACACTTTCATAGGATATTGACATAGGGAAAATATATGTTGTAATTTTCTTCCATGGATTGTGTTCATAGTGTTTGAAGATAAGTCTGCAAAATGGCTTTCAAGACCTTACATTGTTTGAAAACTCGAAAAATTAGTTTTCAGTTGCGCTTCAAAATTAACATGACTAGTGTCTTTAGAAGATAGCTTTGTTCATTAACCATTCTTAGCTTTGATATGATATACTCGTACTTACATATGACTGTTTGGCATTTGCAGGAGAAAAAGACTGGCAAGATTTTCATCATACCTGCTTTTATGACGGTCATTGGTATTCCTGTCTTACGTTACCCATTAGTTACAGTAAGTCGAAGAATGATGATGACCACCGGCGAAAATACTAAGTACAATGGTGCAGTGGATGCAGTTCGACAAATAGTTAAATATGAAGGAGTCTCTTCCTTGTATAAGGGCTTTACTCCATACCTAATCCATCTCTCAATTGTTTCGTTCACTTACTCATACGCTATAAGGTTTTTTGCGCGTAAAATGCAAACATGATGTTATAGCTCATTTCATGGTGCATTTACTCGCACAATATTTTCCGCATGTATTGAGATGAAATTCAAGGTATTTATCTCATTAGTGAAAGTCAAACCGTGAAGGTTTTTATTGATACTGAATTTGTTGGAGAAAATTCAAATTAATTTTATTTTTATTGTTTGCATGTTAATAGCCTTATTAATTTGAGAACTATTTCATCTTGAAATACGAAGTAGTTATTTCGAGACATCCCAAAAAGGATAGTATATGATGATGTTCATGTATGCATATTGGAGGGTCTATCAGTTTGGTTGTATTGTGGCACATCTATTGCATTTGTTGTTTGGTAACTGTCTCACATTGATGCATGTACTTTTCCATTGCATCGAACTGAAAGTCAGGGGTGTCTGTTCCTGAATTCCTACTTTTTTTGTGTTTTCTTTATGAATTTATCTATACCCTTTAGCTTGATATTGTTAATTTTTGATATAATCATTAAAAAAATTATCCTTTCATTGTTTAAACATCACAGCATAATTTGATTTAGGTGACTTACAAAAATTTTATATCTAGGGTAGTACTGTAGTAGGGTGCCCTTAATCTTAAGAGTTATTGGAGTTAAAAGTTTGTTGATTGAGACTATAGGGCACAATCATGTAAAAGGGTCATACCTTGACATACCTTATTGTCTTATTGACAATGTTGTTTATATGCCTAGGAAGTAAATGAGTAATATTGCTCCCAAGAAATTAACTCTATAATTCGATTTGTTGCGCGCTTTTATAATATATGGTAAATTTGAATAAAGGTTTATAATTGAGTAAGGACAGAAATATGTTTGACAGTATTGTGAAGGAGACCGAAAATGGTTGGTGGGATGGAGAAATAAATACTGAAAGTATTATATGAATTATACAGATCACTTGGAATTTAAGTGTAAGGAATATTTTAGCACATTCTGTAAAGGATAGTGTGAAGTATATGTGAGGATGGATACTGCATACTGAAAGGTGTATCAGTTTGATGGCACATCTGTTTCATATGTTCTTGGTTGTTTGGTGAGAGCATTGCAGTGTGTAAGTGTGTTTGGGTAACAGTGGTAGAGGCCTAGAGAGTAAGGAAGGGTAGAGACTAGGGAGAAGTAAATTTGTGATTTTCTCAAAATCGAAATAATTTGGTTTAGCATGTTGGATCTTTTGGTTCTCTCTGCTTTTTTTTTTTTTTTTTTTTTTTTTAAACAAATGGTATCTAAGTAAAGGAAAATTGTGTTAACACCCTCTTTTCTCCTTTCTTCAAACCCTACTATCTAGATACAATTTTATTAGCTGTTCATGGAAGTTCCTCTCTGAGATCTCTTTGTAGTTAAATAGCTGAAGTCTTGTATCTTTTTAATATTATCAACTGTAGGTGTGTCATCTTGTCTTTTTTGTTGCTTGAACACATTGGTATGTAGCTTTTTGAAATTACCTTGAGTACCTTGGCTGTGAGTATCCAGCCACCCTTGTTATGATGACTTCCGAGATGGTTACTATGTTATCATCATTGAGATATTCAATTAAGGCAACTATTAGAGGAAAGGCCTTGCTGGAAAAAAATACCCCCTAGGGGAAGAGCTCTGCCAAAATGAGGATTATATGATTCATACCTGTACAAAATAAGTACACTTGGCTTCGGTCATACACTCATACCCAAAGCCGTCTCCTTTTGGAAATCCAAATTGAAAAATTTGCTCTTATCTACAGCTGCATTCAGATAACATTGTCTTACTATTCTACATCATTCTTGCAGGCAACACTTTCATCTGAAATGGCAGACAGGTGTGAACATACTTCCATGTTCCCAGATTTGCATTGGTTGCATTGGTTTGCATTGGTTGTACCATTGAAGCTCAAAATTTACTAAGAGATCCCGCCCTGTTGGTACGTAGAAATTCATAACAACCATCCCCAAACACATCTTCCACTTCTGTGACTACTCCAAAGAAGCAAGTACACCCAAGGGAACAAAATCCTGGCTCATATGCTATCCTGCAAGGAATATCTCAGGTTCTTTCAGCCTCAGCTGTGGATCCTATTGAACGGGTCTATGGCCTGATGCAATGTCAGAATGAGATGCAAAAATATGGTCATCTTTCAACTCCTTACAAAGGAATGATGGATTGCTTTAGCAGAACAATAAAAAAATGAAGGTGTCCTTTCTCTTTGGCGGGGTAACAGTATGAATGTGATCACACCCTTGACAATTGAGGTGATTTTCCAATTATAACTATATTTTTTTGCTGATATTGATTTTTTTTCCTCCCAGAAAATTTTTGTGGCAAACTGTAACAATGTACAAGTATATAATAAGTCAATTTCCAATTTAACGGAGTTATTCAATTTTCTTCAATAAAATTTGGCTTTTGAGTTCAAAGTTACTATGAAGAATGTCAAATAAGTCCTAGATACCTAGGTGAAAAAAGCCCTGCAGGTACAGACTAGAGGGTTACCATGGACAACTATTCATGTTCTTTTGATTATCTTATGTTTTTAGTAGATTAGGGAGGATCTTGTTATAGTTGTTTATGATTAGCATCTTACAAAATTCGCAGATAAATACAATTTGCTTTTATTATAACTATGTTTTTGCTCGTTATTCAGGCCTCCATGTTTGCTTTTGTCCATTTAAGGCGTAATAGTACCTTATTCAAGGAGGTTCATGAACCACCTTTATGGTTTCTACCTCTTGGTGGAATGTTGGGACTACTGCTTCGTTATCCATTGGATTTTACCCGAATCCACCTTGGGAATGATGTCAAAGTTGCTCAACTACATTTTTCTTTGGATTCTTCTGGCAAAAACATCAGCAATGCCATTGGCAATTGGAAGTTCAATGGTGTTTTTGACGTTTGTAGAAAGACCCTACAATTGGAAGGCATAGTTGGTTTTTACCGTGGATACACTGCTGCATGCGTTGGTGTTTTTGCATATCAGGCCTCAACTGTGTTTAAATCTTACTACAGAGAAAAACTAACAAAGGTTCAATGCGTTTCTTTCATACAACATTTCTTTTACAACTGTCAAACTATTATGTAAATTCATTTCATCTTAAGTTTTTATTGGGTCCTCAGCCACTTTGATAATGCTTTGACATGCACACACTTCAATTTAGGCATAACAAAAAATTAATTAAAAATTAAATAAATGGATAGATTAATGTTTAGGAGATTTTTCTTGTCCTGAGGGTATCTTATATTGTATAAACTGCAACAAGTTTGTTATCTTCCTGTGAAATTAGCTGGTTTCACTAGCGCAGTAGTGGATGATTTTAGCTCTTTGGACCGAAAGTATTCAAGTTGTTTAATAAATTTGCTGTTAGCTATAAATTCTATCTAGTTAGTTGATTAAAGGAGTAGGAGTGTTGTAGGACTACTTTAAGTTGTTTGGTGATTCTCCTCAGGAACATTTTGAAAATAAATTAAGATAAGATAAAATTGAGTTCTTATATTTCTCATTGATTGTTTCTTTTTATTTTAGAGTTGGCCACTGTAAATTTTACATAGGCTTTCTATATATCTATTCTATAATCTGCTGCCCTTTTGACTTACCTCGAATGGTTGTCACTTACATACAGGAAAAACATACGTATTCAGCTAGGATTGCACCTATCATTTTCATGGGTCTCCCTGTGATATTTTACCCTATTCTTACTATCAGCCATAGAATGATGATGGCCTCTGGCGAAGTAACCAAGTACAAGGGTGCTGTGGACGCCGTTTGTCAAATTGTCAAACACGAAGGAGCTTCCTTGTATAAGGGTTTGGGTGCATATTTAGTCTATTGCTGTGCTAAAGATGCCATTGTTCTTGCTTTCGTTCACTTGGCTTACTCTAGAATTGATAACCTTAGAAAATGATGTCGAGCAATAGTATAAATGCACCCAGTAATTGTTTGAAACTCTAGAATGAAACTCAAGGGGTTTTCCCCATGTTTTTGTCTAAGCATTAGCTTGTTTTTCCAGTTGTTACTTGGTTAGATTGTTACCCTTAGGAATATTTCATAAGTTAACCATGTAATAGCAATTTTATTAAACTTATGCATGAGTTGTTTTTCAAAATAAATTAATCAGTCGATTAAAGGAGTTGAGTATGATGAAAAATGTTGGTCTTAATCGATTAAAGCAGTTTAGTTATCATTCCTCTCACATTGTTTGCTGATGGACCATGAATACTTTGCCCTGCACTCTATTATCCTTTGTTGTATTAGCTATTTAGCTCTATAATAGAGTTTGTCAAAGCTCTTTTGGCCTGCAAATCTTGGCGCTTGATTTAATACTTATAGGTGCAATCCTGGCTGATTACGTATGTTTTTCCTGTAAGGTGGCATTCTACTCCGGCACTGATTGATATGTACTGAAGTACTGAACTCAGAGAGCTGCAGAAGGTTCACTTGGACCTGCAGGTGGCGTTTATATCATCAGTAACAGCAGAAATATAATGTACATCTTCCTGGAAAATTTTGGCTGTTGCACTGCTTGTTTACATGTTAGAGCTGAGGTCATGGCGCTTGAGCTACCCCAGAAGTTACAAAATTGAGAGTCTAATAAATGATTCAAACATACAACTTAGCTTGTGTTCACACACTATAAAAGGAAATAGATTAGGTTGATGAGAGTGTTCAACGTTCATTAATCAATTATTGTCGTTCTTTGATTAACTATCAAGATTCGGATAATCAGAATTGATGGTAATTGGTAAATTATTGTTTTAAATTAGGGAAGGAGAGTAAGCAGTATGTGGACTTATAAATTATGACGTGACTCAAATGAACCAATTCTCTATTTATAATAAAACTCGTAATTTATTAATAACAAAAATATTGTTTAATACGAGTAATAATAATACTAATACGTATTATCGGTCATAATAATAATAATAATAAGGAAATACTAATAATAGTAGTGTCAAAACATCCGCTCTTTATAATTTATATATGTACAACTAAACGTTTCTTTTACACTCTCTTCTATCCGTCAGGTAAGTCAATAAATTTCTCTCTCAAAATTTTCCCCATCCCTCTATATTTGTGTAAACTCATCTCTGCAATAAATCATGCTAATAAATCAAAATACCCGTTATTATTTTTATTAAAGTATTATAGCATTGTTCATGTTCATGTTATTGTTGGGGTTAATATATAAAGGTGGTAAGACCATAATTATTAGCCATTTTTATATGATTTCAGCCATTTAAGCTTCTTGTTTTGTTAAATCGAAGAGGGTTTTCAATCTCTTAGCTTGCTGACCAAGTAAATATTTGACTTCCTCTGATTTTCCTTGCATATTTTGCTTGAAATTGGTTTTTTATTTTTATTATTGTTTAATATTTATTTGAACCAGGAATCTGGGTTTATCCATTTGGGTCTTCTGGATAGTAGTGTGATTTTAATGGTTAGTTTTGTTTAGAACCAGATACAAGAACTCGATACATGCTTTTCGTGAGATTGTGAAACATGAAGGTTTCTGTTCTTTGTACAAGGGTGTAACTGCAGGAATGACCTTATGCTTCGCAAGGATACTTGCAATCAAGGCATCACACAATCTCGTACTACAATTACTTCATTAAAGTAGTAGAGTGATCCATGTTCGAGCACTTCATGCTTTTGTGAATCAGTCAGCACTTCACCTGATCTGTGGACTAGTCTCTTTTTTGAAGATGAGAGGATTGAAATTGTCCTTGTAATAGTTTTTCTGGTGGTATCATATTTTGCTTGTTGCAGTGAGCAATGGACTTTAAACTTGCTTGTTAGTAGCCCAAGGCCCTTATATATGTGTTGATGACTCCAAAAAGTGATACTATGAGATCAATGTTTATATTTTGAGCATTTGATCTCAGTTTTGTTCAACTTTACTCTGTATTTGAGATAATTTTTCTTGAGGAAAAAAAAAAAAATTGATCATTTGTTTCTTCTGTTCATTAATATTATTTTGATTTTCGAGAAAAGGTACATAATGCAGCCCAATTAGCCATTCTGGTATTGAAAAAATCACTCTTGCCAATTTAAAGACACTTTGGCATTTGGAAAAAAAATTGTTACAATTTGGTGGTATAACCTATTCAAATGCTGACATTTTTCCAAGTTTTTATATCATTATAATACATTTTATCGAGCATGTGACACTTTTTTTTTTTTTTTTATCAATGCAACTGTTATCTCATAATTATATACTTCGTATAAGATTAATGACTCCGTATTACTTATGTAATTCAAGCTATAAGTGAACATCACAAGTTTTCTAGGGTCTTCTTCCGCAATTTGGTGATTATATCTTATCAAGAGATACGTAATATACTATGTTTTTTTAATTATAAAAATATAATTTAATATTTACTTTGTATATACTCCGTATATTGTATTTTGTTTACAATGGAACCATTAATCCAAAACGTTTTACAAAACAAGTGTTTTATTATATTACACGCAACAACCCGAAACATAGTCCGAGCAACATCATCATAAAATGCCAAATTCCCTGTCACCCATTCACATCCGTCCAAACAAGAAGATTTGCATGAAAAAAGGTGTACTATGATCTCCTGCACTATTCACCCTACCAACATCCCAGTTCCACCCCCTCCCTCTCTCTGCAACGTCCAAAGTATCATCACCACTAACCAATCCAATGGCGCCACCTCACTAATCATAACAACCTTTCCTTAACTCATCCTTTTAACTCTAGTCAAATCATAAACCCCAGCTCTTTAACCATGGTTTAATTTCATATTCTCTGCTCTATTTATACCCCTTCTTCTCTTTCTTCCATTTTTCACTTTCTCTCACTACACCATTATTACACCTTCAAAAAGAGGAGAGAGAATGAGTTACCGTGTTCTTCAAGCTCAGAAAATGGCCACTTCTATGGCAGCAAGAGTCTCTCTCTGCCGTAACAACCTCCTCAACCACCGCCGTTTCAGCAGTGCGCCGCCTTCTACGGCTGACGGAATTCCTCGTCACCTCCTTGCTAACTGCAAACTTGCTCGTTCTGGAAACATCCCTCATTTTGACAGCCTTCCTCCTCACTGTATACTCCTAGGTAGTTATACTTTGTATTTTCATTTGCAGCTGTTTTTACTATTTTACTTGTTTAAATATTGTTTATATTACATTATTAATCGAAGATATGTGTGTGTTATCTGATTCTGGAAACCATTGCATTTTCTGGGTTTTGTTGTTTGTATTTAGCTTCTTGTACGGTACGCTATTCGCTCATATATACATGACTTTTATCTGGAATTTTGGTCATCTAAACTTACACTTTGTATTTGGAATTTTATGTTAAGCTGATATTATGTCTATAAATTTGTGCGGTGTTTATGTAAGTCACCAAGATCTATGTAAAATAAATAATTATGATGTGAATATGTGATTGATGATTTTTTATGTTGGTATGTATATGTGACTAATGTGAGTTATTTCAACGTATAATTAGCTCACTGAAATAATGTTATGGACCGATTTCAACTCTATTAATAGTCGTCTAATTCTAGATTATTACTTTTTTTATGTGGATCGATGCGATATTTATGTTACGGTGGATTTGGTTTGAGAGGATAAATCATGCCGTCAACTTAATCAACGGGTTAAATGGGGCATTGGATTTATTTGTTAAATTATGGTCTATTTTGTTTGAGATAATACATAAATAATTTGTTATACTGTAAACTTAAGGGCCTTAATTGATATGTGCATTAAATTACAAACCGAAATTGAATCTAATTAAGTTGTAGGGAAATGGAAGAAAAAAGACTCATAATGTGAGAAACGTCTTAGCCTTATTACTTGTTACAAATGCTTGAATTGTATAGTTAATTTCGCGATTCTAATCTTGTTCAATGCTATCAAACATGATCAGCTTTTAAGCATGGAGGCTCGCAATTCCCACCAGTTGGAGAACTAAGGAAGAATAGGTCGTTTTATAGTGACACGGATGATGACTCAAGCTCCGATCAGTACTCGGTTCTGATCAGGATATGCCCGACACATGGGGTTTCAAGCAAGATGATAATGCAATCTACTTAAGGATGGATATTCCAGGAGTCGGCAAAGAAGATGTGAAGGTCTATGTGGTAGGCAGCTCTCATATGCTCAAGGTGAAGGGAATCAGAAAGTTGGACCCTGAGTTCGGGGATGATGCTGAGACCGGTCCTAAACCCTTTGTTTATGAGGTCGGGTTAGTGTCACCTAGTGAATACAAGGTTGATAAGATTAAGGCTGAGATTAAAGATGGTGTGCTCAAGGTTACAGTTCCGAAGGTCAAGGATGAGGAGAGGATGGACGTGTTGCACGTTCAGGTCGATTGAATCAGATTTGTGGAGTGTTTCGGGTTCACAGTCTTTATGAAGGACTCTTTTTGATGACAAGTATAAATAATTCTAGATTTCTAATGTTGCAGTAGAACCTATCTTTTGCCTTTGCTAGAAAAACTTTGGTCGAATTTGCGGTGTTGTTTGACAATGTTATGTGCTACTTATGGTGTTGAGATTCTAATGAAATTGGATGGTTTTTAGACTTAAAGATCTATTTCTTATTCATGCTATACATGGTTTATTTTATTTCATGATTTGATAAGGTGATTAGATGATTTGATCACACTTGATTTTCCCTTAAAGGTTGTCAATAACTTCCATAAAATTGCCTGTGATTTGCTGTTAATCAAGTCCTTTCGCAAATTATAGCCTCTTATAGTCTTATGTACTGTTGGCTTTAATGAATTTTGTCAGAACATTCCATGCTTGTGATGAATCTGATGTTGGTGAAGGAGATCAAATCATATTATTTGAAGGATTTCCTAGATGTATATAGACAATATAGTAATCCTTTAGTAACAATTAAACTCGAAAACTAGGGAGTACCCTTTGTATCGACTACTTTGTATATATTTTTTGAACTCATACAGTTAAATTTTCTTTAGAGTCAACCATGTGATTTTTATAAGTATTTTGAATTTTATTTTTGAACTCGTACAGTAAAATTATCTCTCAACAAAATTAAATACATGAAAACCAATTTTTTTTTTTTTTTTTTTTTTTTTAAACCAACACATGAAAACCAATTGAGTAAGGGTAGGCCAATAAAAATTGGACATTCCTGATTCCTCCAACTGCACATCATATCCGTCCAAATCAAAGGGATTTGCATGAAAATAGGTCCAACTCTATCTCTGATACATTGCACCCATCTCTGCAAAACCTTCAAAATATTCCTATAATACTCCCTTCATCCTTTTATTTTTGCTCCATTGTCATTTTTAGAGTCGAATTTTAAAAACTTTGACAATAATTTACCGTTAATTTATAAAAGATGATATAGTCATAAGTGGTCTTATGCTAAATTATTTATGAGAGAATAGCTTGAATTGTATTGATGATCTTAACTAATATTTATAGCAGATAACCTACACAATATAAACTCTATCATATAAACTTCCGTAAATATATTATTATCTTAAATATAATATCAAAAAATCTATATGGAAAATATATCAAAATAATATATTTTCCTATATTCATAACATCTTATTAGATTCGTTTCCTTACCTATTATAGACGTTAAGACGTTTCTTGAAAACCGCGGACAAATCAAATAGGACAAAAAAATAGGAACGAAGCGAGTACTAATAACCAATACAGTATTGCCACCTATCAAAAGTCAAAACTGTAATCTACTTCAATCAAATTCCATTTTTTTTTTTTTTTACAGAAAATCAAATTCCAAATTCACTTGGTTACTCCTACTTTTTTTTTTTTTTTTTTTTTTTTTTTTTTTTTGGAGGGAACTCGTACTATTATTTATTATTCATTTAATAATTTTTTTTTTGAGAATTATAATAACTATTTTAATTTCTACTGGTATTAAACTTTTCATTTCATTTCAACCATTTCTCCAAATTATTCTCCACTTATTTTCTTAAAGATAAAGAAAAACCGTGCAATAATGTTAGGTTATTCAAACCACTACCACCACCTCCGCAGCCACACACCGCCGTCATTACTATTAACCGACCCTACATACACCTATGACGACAGCAATTACGGCGGCGATTATGAAGACGACGTCATCATTGACCCTTCAACACCAAGCCCGGAATTAGGCCCGCCCAAGAAGAAGGGCAAGCAAAGCGGACCCATGACCCGGAAGAAGTGCACCCACTGTGGGACCCAGGAGACACCACAATGGCGGTTAGGACCCAAGGGACCATTGACCCTTTGTAATGCTTGTGGGTTAAGCTATCTTAGAGTGGGCCACCTTCTGCCCGAGTACAGGCCCGTTCGTAGCCCGAGTTTCTCAACCCAACTTCACTCCAATTTCTACAGGAACCGGAAATTGAAGGAGACTAGGAAGAAGAAGGAGAAGATGATTTCGGGTCGACCCAGTTCTGAAACTTTGCCCCACCCGTTTTCAAGGTTTGAATAGTATATACGACCATATTATTATTGATTATTCGTAGTACGTAGAAATAGTAAGGTGTAAAGTTTGATGATATATGATTTTTAATTCCTTTGCAGTTTTGATGATTTGGCTTTGGTGAATCCGGGTTCAAGTTCGGGTATTTTGGATCACCCAGTTTCCAATTCTGGTAATTTTCCTATTTTTATATAAACAAAAGAAATGAAATTTTGGACGAAATTATATTGTTTGATTCAATTACTAAGAAAGCTAATACATGTTTTGTTGCTTGTAATTTATTTGGTAAAATGAAAGAAACTTTGCATTTCAACCAATATTTATTTGGAATTTTGATTTTGTTTTGTATGTAGACATGTGAAATATGTTTTCACGTACATATTGTTATTGTAACTTAGGCAATTCCAGTATACTCAAATAATCTAGTTTGAGGTGTTAAATCGACGGGTTAAATGGATCGATCATGGCTACTAGAGTGGTAGCTTGCTAATGTTGAAGTTGATTATTGTTTTCGATGTATGGAGTAAGAGGAAAGAAAGTGTTTTAATTTGTTTAGCTATTGAAATCAAGCACAATTTGTTAAGACTGATCTTTTTTGAGTTGTGAACATTGTCTTATGGAAATTGTAAGAATCGAAGAAAATAGTCGAGCTTGTGTTTAGTTTCAATCACAACAAAAACTACATGATTATACAGCATTTACTCATTGTTTTTCTTTCTTCCAAGTTATTAGATGTTTTTCAATCCTTTATGTAGGTTGTATGCATTTGCTTGGATCAGTTTTATGAATTGAATGTTATCTTGGTTGAATTATTCACAGAGAAGTATGAAACCTCGCCATTCACAGCTGGTGAAAGAACGGTGATGCAGCTGCCATCTTCTGGTGGCTCAAGCAATGATACGGAAGCTGATGGACAGCGGAAGCCATGGTATTTCAAGCAAGATGATGATGCACTGTACTTTAAGATGGATATGCCAGGGGTGAGAAAAAAAGATGCCAAGATTAGTGTGGAGGGCAGCACTCTGACAGTGAAGGGGGTGAGGAAATTGGACCCTCACTTCAGAGATGAGGAGAACTGTCTGAATACCTATGTTGTTAAGGTCACCTTAGTTGAAAGGCATCAGTACAATATTGATGGGGTTAAGGCAGAACTGAAGCATGGAGTTCTCAAAGTTATAGTACCTAAAGTCAGGGATGTATCGCGTATTCAGACCAGGTGATGAGATTTGCTGAAGCATTCTAGTTATACAGGCTTTGTGGAAAGAACTAATTAGTCTTATTTTGGTAATGATAGGAGTACATTCTAAATCTCAAGTAGTGCTTAGACTGCTTACCTTATACTTTTGCTGGAAAATCTTAGGTCTTTGGCTGTAGTGTTCTCTTGTGGTTGTGAATATGGGTTCTAGATCTGCATTGTTGCTCGACAAAGTTGTGTGTGCTAGCTAAATTTATGAGCCTGTGAACTTGGATTAGTTCGAAAGTCAAGGCATACAAAGTTCTTTCTTTCCATGGCATACTAATGGTCTTATTTGAATATTTTGTTACAAATATATTATCATGGTTTGAATATTTTGTTACAAATATATTCAATCCTACATGATTAGACCAAGAACGGAGGAAGTACATGTATATTTTAAGGCAAAATCTCTTTAGATGTTTTTTCTAACCATCCAAGAAGAGAATCCTCTGCTCTAGCCAATTAAAATCCCCAATCTAATGATATCTCAATCAACATATTTATACTCTGCAGTTTACTCTGGAATTAGAGTCTGAAATTCTGAATACTATTATAGTTATGCAATGCTCATATACAGAAGTTGGCCATCTCTGGTTTTTCAAAGGTTATGTAGCTGACCAACTTAGTATAAAGTTTACTACTCTACCCGACTACACTAATCTTAATATTCAGATCCGACACTTGCTACTTCGCTAGTTGATCTCGACCATACAGCAAGAAGGTCCACTCCCTGATTTTTTACAATGTCCACTTAATGCTACACCGGGAAGAGAATAGACACCAGACATGCTCAACAGTCCATGACAGCCTCATGGACGACATCACAGGGCCTATTGCTCCTTATCCCCTTGCCAAACATCTCGCGGTGATTTTTAGCAGTCACGGAAGAATCATAGGAAATTGAGATTTAGAGTAATGGAGAGTCACAGGATAGCTATAGCAAATGGGACATAGGAAAATACTAGTAGTGATCAGGTATACTCGCACATCCTTGCTGCTCCATAGCAGTGAGTTCCTCCTAGCACACTCTAATTCACCCCCAGTTACAACCATAGGTCCTGCATCACACCCATTGCTCAACCCCGTGCCTTTAATGATAGTTGTCCAAATATTCACTGCCATTTTTATTTTGAGCACTCTACAGTATTTTTTTACAGTAATGGTTATCACAATTCAGCTTTTTTCCATTTCATTTGACCTACATGGTTTTATAAAATTTCCCCACATGACCATTCTTGCGAGGTGCATAGTTACCCTGACTTGTGATATTTCTGCATTGTATATCAACATATCAATTGCGAAATTAATGGTCCAAGTTAACACAAATATCATTAAAATAAAAAACAAATGTCAGTTATCTTCGGAGTGTTCAGGCAGATTAGAGTCTAAATTGAACACTTTATATAACACATATGTAAGATATACTGATATAGAAGTTATTATTGATTGAGACTTTTCTACTACTGAGTGTTACTGTACTTGGGAACGGTAGAACTCATTATGCAAGGAAAATGTAAAATGTTCCTTCAAATACAATTGCTCTCATTCACATTCCTTCAAAACGAACAGCAACGTCTGATTAAAAAAATTTCCGAGGCATCATTGATTCATTGGTGGCTCACAAGACTTTTAGCTCAAAATTTATAATGGCTGGCTATACTTGGGAGTTCAACAAAGTGATCTATCAGATTACTAGAACAACGCATTGACAATGTAATAAATTTACAATTAGATGTAACAACAGAAGGGTAAGAAAGGAATCAACAAAGATGCATACATTAGACTGTGCATCACTTCCAGAGTTCCTCCATGGGGATCCCACGGTCACGGGCCACTTCACTAAACTGCCTCATAGTTTGCACTGCCAAAATTGTAGCTCTAGCGTTGTTAAGTGCATTATTACTTCCCAATTGCTTGCCCAATGCATTCTCAACACCTGCCATCTCCAACACAGTTCTGACAGCACCACCTGCAATAACTCCTGTACCAGGAGCTGCTGGTCGAAGCATCACCCTTGCTGCTCCATAGTCAGCCTCATTTCTGGCAAGATATTGAATAACATTACACCAGCAACAAACAATTGCCACAACATAGATGTGGCATCATTTAATAAATTTAACAGAAACCTCGTATCCCACTCCGTCCCCATACATCAACATCCAAAACTAGCATAGAAAAACAAGTGAGAACCAAAGGAAGTCAGGAACATATCATGCAAGGTGCTAAAGTCACACAGTGTAAATATCTTCGAGCCTATGTTAATCCCCTGCACTAAGAGAGACCAATACCGCCCAAACAAAGGTCATATATATGTAGATGAACTCCAAAATCCCACGGGCCATGTGGAGGGGTGAAGGCAAAGAATTGGAGGAAATATCCTATACAATATTTGGAGTCACAGTAGTAATGCTCCCCCCACTCAACTTGGTCCCATTTTGCTACTTAAATTCATATATACCAGGACAGGATGAGTAGAAGCTTTGTAGCTGGTATCATAATTCTTTTAAGGAAGACCACCCTTGAACAAAACTAATATGTTACTAGAATACAAATGTTGTTTTTGTAGGCATTCCCAAATCCCATATACGAGCACATCTTTTGGCAAGCATTCCCAAAACTATACCTTCATAAACATTCTTCAAATTTAGATCCCCAACTTTATAAACTTCATATCATCTTGGAGCTCTTTACATATTTGCAACTTGAATTTGGCATTCAAAAGTGTTCTGAGTCAAAAGTTTCACATAAAATATGGTGTTGACATCAACTTCCTAGTAGGATATATTGCAATAGCAACTAAATATTCCCTTGCAGCTTTAGAGTTCAAATCAGAAGTCCCATATCCTACATTATAATGAATCTGCCTCTACCACTTCAGTTAGAAGCTCATTGCTTGTAACTAGGCATAACTTACTTAATGAGCTCAAAATTCAGCATGTATGATAGGTGTTTTACATAAAGCTAATAATAAAGCCTCAAATTTCCAAAGATACAAATTACAAGAAAGGGGAAAAACGGTCAATGTGCACAACGCTTTGGATCATATCACAAAAGGTGGAAAATTCATTGCTCTACAACTACACACAAACAAAGAGCTAAAGTCACATTAAAGGAAAGGTTTAAACTTCAGTACCTGTGAGGGAAAGTCAGATACTTGGTCATGGGCACAGTTATAATGTTCCGACGAGCATCTGTTGCTGCCTTCTGAACTGCAGCAATCACCTCCTTAGCTTTACCAACTCCAACGCCAACTTGGCCCTTCTTATCACCTACCACCACAACTGCCCTGAACCTCATGTGCTTCCCTCCCTTAACCACCTTAGTCACTCTTCTAACCTGCATTGTACAGAAACCATCACCACTTCAGCTGACACATATAATTCACGAAAGACCGTCAATTTCTTATACCAATCCTCCTTCAAATTCATACACAAAACTGAGCAAAGAAGCATCACTTACTAAATATCACCTAAAAACTTAATCAATTCCTTATCCAAACCACTAAATATGAACCTAAATCAATTAAACCCACTTCCAATATGTAAATTAAATTCGAATTCACAAATCAAAAACCAATTTCAACATACTGAAATTCGAACTCTCTTTCTTAACAAAGAATTCTATACAATGTACTCTCAATTTGGATTGAATATAAATTCAAAATAGGAACAATAGCCATGAAATTCCAGTAAACCACCTCCCAAAAATTCAATTCAATTCAATTCAAATACACATCAAATGACTAACCCAATAACCCAAAAATCAATTCAATTAAAAAAGCAACAATACCCAATTACAGTAAAACCAAATTAAGCATTCAACAACACCCAAAAACTTGAATAAAATTCAGTTCATAGAGAATCAATTACACAATAATGTAAGAAAATACCTGAACTACATTCTCATCAAACCCATCTCGAATCTTCTCTTTCTTACTTTTGGACCCAAACCCAGTAGACTTCTTAACCTTAGAATCCATAGCATAGATGTCATTCCCAAGAAAAGTCTCACCACTGTAAGCAGGACCATAGAGCTCCTCATAAGCTCGAGCAATATCCTCCTCGGACTCAAATGGGGGTTCATCAATGGCGCGAGGAGGGACGAAACCCTCGGGCTTTTCAGGGGGGTCGAAGGTGATTTGTTCGTCTGGGTTATCCTGTTCGAAGAAGGTGATGTCAATTCCGTCTTTCTTGGTGCAAGAGAGTTGAGTTGGGAATGAGCGAGTAGAGGAGAGAGAAAGGAAGAGGGGTTTTGAGGAGTCTGAGAAAGAGAAGAGTGTGGTAGAAGTGGGTTTGGGGAAGAGAGAGAAACGGGTGGAGGAGGTGGTGGAGAAGGGAGTTGCAGAGGCCGCCATTGGAGAGAGAAAGGGAGGTTTGAGCTCTAGCAGGAATGGGAGGTTGAGGGAAGTATTTTCTGGTCTTCAATGGGTAAGCTTAAGGAATGGAGGCTTATCTATACTTTTCAAGTGTTCTATCCAAAAAAAAAAAAACCAAAAAAAAAAAAGTCTCAACCTTTTTATTCTCTTCTCTTTGAATTTTATGTAATTTCATATTTTTCAATGTGTATTCTTACCATTATGACATAGCATAGTTTTAAAAGTTTGACCATAAAAGTCAAAATGTAAAGAATAAAAAAGAACGAAAACATAAAGTTTCTATAGAATAAAAGAAAAGGTTTAAGAAAAAATAATCTGTTTGATATAATATTACTTTTTTTTTTACTTAATATTACTTCCTATAGTTACAATGTCTATTTTCATGATTTTTTTTTTACAATTTTTACCAATAGATAATTAAATGTTGCAACAATTGTTTTATAGTCAAAATACGTACTTTCTTTATTTTAATTTTAACCAAAACATTTATCAGATATAACTTTGACTATAAAATATGAATGTATTTTAATTGAATTTACCTTCATATTTTATAGTCAAAGTTATATCTGATAAATGCGTTGGTTAAAATTAAAATAAAGAAAGTACGTGCTCGCTACACTTGAGTTTGCATGCATGTAATTTCTTTTAAGCTACAGTATACTCCCTCTGTCCCCAATTGTTTGCCCCAAACTATAAATCTTAAAAAATGGTGCATATGGGTTGACACAAATATCAATGAGGAGAGAGATAGAGAGAGTGCAAGTGGGAAAACATGTCAAAAGTAGTATGGGGCAATTTTTTTGGGGTCACCTTAAAAAAGAAAGTGGAGCAAACAATTAGGGATAGAGGGAGTATGAGAGAAAACTATCTTAACTTCTTATTTACCTTTCCATTTAAAAATAAATAAAATGCATGTGAGTTCTTTGTTTGGTTTGTGAATGGGTAGAAAACAAATAATGTCTTAAAATATTTTACTTTTAGGAAATTTTCACATTTGCTACCTGTTTAAATTTTTATTTTTTTTTATTTTACTACCACCTAAAAAAGAGTTTGTTAAAAATCACTACCACATGTCTTATTCTGTTACTATTTCCGTTAGTGGGCCCACTCCACCGTTTAGCCACCCCTCCAACCACCTTGCAGCCACCCCTCCTCGTCACTGCCACCCCTCACCTCCCCTCTCCCCCTGCCGGCGCCGGCGCCGCCGCGCGAACCCATCCCCTCCCTTTCCCCTACCCTATGCGCATCCAATCCCCCCTTTCCCTTTCCCGTTCTTGAGCTCCGACTCCCACCCCGAACGAAAACCACCCCCTTTCCCCTTCCCTCCACCGGAAATCGACCCCCTTCCCCTGATTCCCCCACCGAAATCGACCCCCTCTCCTTCCCCTACCCTTTTCGGCCGTCCCTAACCCTAAACCACCACCCCAAAACCACCCTAAACGAATTTTAGGGTTTCGGTTGTGGTGGTTTAGGGTTAGGGACGGCCGAAAAGGGGTAGGGGAAGAGGAGGGGGTCGATTTCGGTGGGGGAATCAGGGGAGGGGGGCCGATTTCCGGTGGAGGGAAGGGGAAAGGGGGTTACGGTGGTGTTGGTATGGGTTTTGGGGGTTACGGTGGTGGTGGTGGTCTGGGTTTGGGGGTGTCGGGTTAGGATTAGGATTGTCAATTTTGGGTGGGGAAAAGGGAGGGGGTGAGGCCGCCGGCGCCGACCGAATCTTTAGGCGACGGCCGCCGGAAGGGGGGAGGGGGAGGGTGGCAGATTAGGGGAGGGAAAGGGTGGCAGATTAGGGGAGGGGGTGGGTGGGGTTGCTGGTTTTTTTTATTTTTTTTAATTTTTCTTTTTTTTTTTTTAAATAAACTTAACGGAAATCCTAACGGATTCCGTTAAGTGGTAGTGATTTTTAACAAAGTCTGATTTAGGTGGTAGCAAAGTGAAAAAAAAATTTAAATAGATAGCAAATCTGAAGCGAGGCGTTTTAGGTGGTAGCAAATGTGAAAATTTCCTTACTTTTAACTTGTATAGATTGATACTGTATTAGTAAAAAATTGTTGACTGATTGCTCTATCACATCAAGTGCATTTTGTGATAGTCAGACCGGGCAAAATAACTGAACTACTGAAGCATCACAGTCCAGTCTAATTATTGATATTTGATTAGATGAATCAATTAGCTGAATTAGTGGTTAATCAATTAGCATTCCTAAATATTCATTAAGAACCATAATTATCAGTCTTTCTAAATTCTGCAACTGAAAAACTAATACAGGAAAATCATTCCTCTTCTCATAATAATCCATCGACCTCTCATCTCCCAACACCCCATTATAAAAAGCCAACCTGACTACAACCCTTTCACCATCACCAATCTCACAAAATCAACTTCAGCATGGGCATCAGAAGCAGCGTTTTCGTTCTTTTAACCGTAGCATTATTCCTGATGCTGAATGCAACATCAGCAAGAGACTTCCCTCTTGCTGCTGATGATCCAAAAATCAAAGACCTTGCAGCAAGATTATGATTAAGTGCTGATGGTACTAATACTACTTCTGATTGTTGGGGTTCCCTGTCAGAGCTCAGAACATGCTCAAATGAGATCATCGGCTTCTTCCTTAACGGATACACCAACATAGATGCCCCATGCTGCCAAGCCATTGAAGTCATCATCAACCATTGCTGGCCTTCAATGCTCGGAATTCTTGGGTTTACTACCGAAGAAGGCAACTTGCTTGCAGCCTACTGCAGCAACAACTCCACTGCAGCACCTGCTGGTGCACCACCTGTAACTAAAAATACTACTGGCAGTCACTTTTAGTCTCCCACTTCTTGCTGTAATTTCCTTTTTTTTGCCTGTAGCCTTTCATTTCTGTTAGTTTTTTTTTTTTTTTTTTTTTTTTTTCTTTTTTTTTCTTTTGGTAAGATCTATGTTACTTCAATCAGATGTTAGTATGAGCAACACTAGCTCTAAATAAAACACTGTCAGACTACAAGTTGCTGATTTTACCAGAACTTCAACACCCCCAACCCCAATTTCTAAGTACATTATATGATTATTTGCATCCCAAAGTTTCAGTACTACTTCAGAGGATGACATCAGGGATGTGACCTTTTTAACAATTCTTAATCCGCTGATAACAGCAAAGATCTACTTCTTCCAAGTGGCAGGGGAGTCGAATCATAAAACTAAATAAATCAAAAAAATTGCTTTACAAACTGAAATGAAATATGAAATATCCATTTAACTACCATGATGAATCATGTAACTCTAAAGCAAAAGCACAATGATAAAGCCTAAACATTATATCAATAGGAAAATACAAGAAATATAACTTCAAATTCATACTGTAAGAAGTAGGAAGCACACAAACTAAGAAATAGACCAGTAATGCATTGAATAGAAGATTACAGAGTAAGAAAGAATATCATTCTATCCTTAAAAGACTTGTTGATTCTTCAAATTAATGTTTCCTTTGAATTTCCAAGTTTCAAATAAATGACTTTATGCGAGATTCTGTGCATCAAAGTGCTTATAAGTATTATAGTCACAGTGGAAGCTGAAATAAAATGGAACAATAAAAATTATGGGAGCACGTTGCAGCTATACTGGAAGATCTTTGAAGTGAAGGATTAATACACACAAACTGATATAAATTGAAACATGCAACAACTCATTAAAGGCAGTTGTATGGATGATGAAGCTCCAAGTATCAAAAATCTCAATAGCTCACTCACACATTAAATTAGAAGTACTACAAACTACTCTACAACACAATAATTTGAAGATCTTATCCATATCATAAGGTTATTGCGGTCTGCCACTCTACTGAGTAAGAAGCTTTGAGTCACATGCTACTATTTTAACTCGGCTGACATTCTCCTGCAACTCCTCACTTTTGAACAGAGCATCCTGTAAGATGAACGTCCAGACATTGTCGCAGAATCTGTAGGTATGCAAATGTCCCTACAAAATATGTTTGAGAAAATATAAGACATATTTACTGGCAATTTCAGCAATAGAAATCTAGACAAGTATTCTTAATTGGTTTGTATCAGTCAACTGATTATTAGTCCGCAACCAGCAAATGCCAGACTCAATGACCTCATAAAGCTCCCACCCCCTCCTATATTGCAGCCCAAAAGTTACACATCATGTATAAAGAAAAGCCTTTATCAATATATTAAAGCCAAACTCACAGGATTAGTTGAGATTAAAATGTACTGCTCCATTGTAGCTCTATCAAATTTGCAGGTGAATTCATATTATTGATTTATCATCAAATTAACACATATAATAAATATTAATAAAGTACATTAACATTAAGATCAATCGCTATTGTCAAAAAAAAAAAACAACATTAAGATCAATCAAAATATTGTACAGAGCTGCAGTCAATGTCCAGTCAAAAGCTAAGAAGACCTGCAGTAGTGCAGTACCGAGTACTCAACAGAGCCACATCTGTATTTTGCTAGATTAATCTACAAATGAGCATTAACTCGTTCAGAGATCGAATAAATCATACGAACAGATCCACATCTGCATTTTGAGAGATTAATCTTTACAAAAGAAGTATTTGAAGATTAAATATCTCAAACCCTGGGATCTACTTCAATTAGGGGTAAACTTAACCACTCAATTTCAACATTACTCAGAAAATCCCGACATGGGATCAACTAGATTATTATCCACATGGTATATGATCAATTCTCAGTATACCACTGACCCATTCCCTTGCGCAAAACATGTATATCAAAATTTAGCAGTACTTTCCTTGTACAAATGTACACAAATAAATCAGTCACACCTCTATAAAAGCTATATAGTCTAAAATTCACCATTCAAAAAACCTTAGGGACTTAGGGGGCGTTTGGTAGAGTAATTTTAGATGCATGAAACGGATTCAAATAAGTGTTTCCATTTCTAGCTGTTTGGTATGAGTTAATAGTAACAAATATAGTTTTCAGAGGGTAACAAAATCCCCCAAGTTGTTACCCTTGACAAATTAGTGGAAATACAATACATTTCTTACTCAAATCGCAATCTATTCAAATTGCTTTCATTACATTAGGATATAAAACATATAGTAAAGGTGACGTTTATCACTACCCTTTCCCCTGTTTATTTAAATCCTTTCCATTCTATAATATTTAATCTCCAAAAACACCTATTGCACTTCCACACTCCCACTATGAGAGAGTAAAGAGAGTACAACTTTAAGGCATTATTATACCTTCCGCAAGTCATAAGTCATACATGTTTGCCACGATACTCCCTCAATTCTACCAAAAATGTCATCAAATTTCTTGCAGATACTAGTAACTTAACAAATGTTGTTTTGGTAGAATAAGGAAAGATAATTAAGTTAATATGTATCCAAAATAATAAAAAGGGAAAACCAAAACAAATTATCATTATGTCGGATTTGAGGTAGCATTATCCTTATGTCGGATTTGAGGTAGCATTATCCTACAAGGGCTACAACCATCTCATCTCCACTTCTTTCCAAACATGTGAGAGTACATATCTCAACACTATTCCCTCTATTACCTAAAAGACAACTCCTATTTTGTATGGTATTAACCTCCACGAAGGCACGGACCCTAACACGCAAGCAAAATACACAGAGGATGATTTTTTTTTTTTTTTTTATGTAATTTATACCATCATCTGCTCATTTTAACATCACCCATCATCAAAAACCCACCATTCTGATTTCCAGTATTTCCAATATTACCTTAGTAAGTAAGTTCATTAAAATTTGACAAGTCAACTCAGCCATACACTAACATTCAGTATTCAGCTAAAGTTAATCCTAAACTATACATCTTCCCCACTTAAGCTGTCATACTCCGCCTTCCGAAACCACACAAATTTAACCATACTTGTTGACATCATCTCTAACAAATACAAAACAACTTAATTCCATATCCAATATACAATGTTGCCATTCTTTTTCTATTAATTAATTGGAAGGCAATTTCATTCAAAAATCATTCTCATAAACAAACTACTAAGAATATCTCTAATCAAATGGTAATGCTTGATATAATTTGATCAAACCCAATACCTTGATTGTTACTTTGGACTTCACTTGAGCCTCGAGAGCTTCGGTCATTGACTACAATCACACAAAACACAATCAAACGTCAATGAAAAAAAACAACAACAACAACAACAAAAAAAAAAAAAAAAAAAAAAAAGAAAAGAAAAGACGAAAGTCGAATTGACTACCTTATCAAATTGAACAAGAACTTGAATCGCAAGCTCAGGACTAAGAGTGCCACTCTGAACCATCTCATCTAACGTCTCTGTTAAACACATTCCAATTGTCGACCTTCGATAAAGCTCGAATGTCGCCATTTTTGTACGAAGATCTGCGATCAAATTCTCCAATTAATCAACTTTCAATCACTAACAAATTCAACATTTTCAAACAAATTATTGCCGAATGATGCGAAAATTAAGCTCAGATTATGAAAAAAAAAAAAAAAAAAAAAAAAAAAAAAAACTGAGAAAAAGATCAGTGAGACGAAATTCGATACTATGTAATGAAAGATTTTGAAATCTAATTCAAGAGATTTTTACAGTTTCAAATAATTTAATCGGAATCTCGCGATAATTGAGCTCAGAATAAGAGAAAAATTCATAAAAATTCATGAAAAATGAGAAATTCGAAATTACATTCATCTGATTCCAACGATTTCAAACGATTTAATCATTCACAAATTCGGAATCATTCGAAAATCGAGCTTAAAATATGAGAAAAAATACACAAAAATCATCAAAATGATGAAATTAGGGAATAAAAAAAGGCAAAAATTGGAGAATTGAGAAGTAGAAAAGTACAATTGAATGAGATAAGGCAATTTGCTCTGAAGTTGTTTGGAGATGTTGGTACGAAAATTGGAGAAATTTGGGTGTTTTTATACCCTAGAATTTCCTGGATTTGGTGTTTATATAGCGCTGACCGACTTTGTAATTATTGGACAATAATACCCTTGATGGGCTCTAATAATTTACTGTTTTGACACGGTTATCTTTGGATCCATTGTTGTCAGCCCATTTAAGAAATAACCTCGTTTTTTTATTGGGCCATAATGCTTATTTTCTTCTTTCCCTTTTAGTGAAAACTGAAAAGAATAAGTTTTGTATTCATCAATATAATATTTGGTCAAATTTTGTTGTCTTAGCCTTTAGCCATTTGGAACATTGATTGATTCTCTTTGTCTCTAACATTGTTTGGTATTCCCCTCGTTTTTTTTGTTTTGTGGGCTACATCAATCTTTGCATTTACATACGTTAATGCGGAGCCAGAATTTTTAAGTAGGGGGGCCAAAATCATATTTATGTATGTATAATTTTGTAACTATATATTATTGAATTGATTATATTTCCTAAAAAAAATGTTAGTTGCAAGATTTGAACTCTTAACATCTTATCCATTAATAAATGGCAAAAACCAACTCCTCTACACTAAAACTTATGATAAATTAAATTTTATCGATCTTGAGCAAAGGGGGTGGTCATGGCCCCTACCAGCCCCCCATGGCTCCGCCCAATCGCCTATGACTCCATGAGTAAACATATTTATGTTGATTGTTGATATACGTTATATTCGTCACAATATATAATTTTTTAATATCAACTTTTTATATGTATTTATTGATAATTAATTTTTTTTAAAGTCAAACATTAGAGAATATATCAGTTAAAATAAAGCACTTAGAATAAACGAGTATAATATTAGTAAATAAAATACAAGAAAGCAAAAGGGAATTTATCTTCCAAGTTTAATTTTTTACTTTTTAGTAAAAGAAAGTGGAGGGAAGAGATTTTTAATTTTCCTCCATATTCAAATTTCTCCACAAGTCGCTGTGAGAGTTTAGGGGGAGTCTACTAGCGGAAGAAAAAAGTTTTTTTAGAGAGATTTTCTTATTTTCATATGGCAGATTTTTCACAACAGCCTTATTGTTCGTTACACACTCTTTAAAAGAAAAATATTTCTTCCAATAAGTACATGCCCTTTGTGCAACCAACAAGATGAATCCATCGACCACCTTTTTCTGGAATGCAACAAATCTTCCTCTATTTGGCTTCACCCATTTACCACCACTTGGTTGGATTGCTCTCTTCCCACAATGTGCTTAATTGATCCCGTTTATTATATCAAAAAGTTGGTGTCTACTCAAAGATTTTTTTTTCTTAATATGGAGTATTTAGGAAGAACGTAACGCTATCATTTTCCAAAATGATAGCTTTGATCCAGCCACGATTTACCACCGAGCGCTCTTTGCGTTCAATGAGTTGTAATAAAGAAGCTTAAACGATACCTTTTCTTAATCTGGATCTCAAATTGGGAAATCCACCCCTTATTTTAACCTTCTCCGATCCAGCAGCAGCGGCAGCAATATCATCATCACCAACCACCCTTTATCCTGGTTGCTTGGGAGCCCCCTCCGCCTCAATTTTTCAAACTTAATTTTGATGGATCGGTCCGCAACAACTCAGCAGCATCAGGTGTTATTATCAAAGACTACAAAGGTTCTCTCATTACATCAGCAACTTACAATTAATCTCGGGAATATATACAAAGGCTTTCGTCACGGAAGCATTAGCTCTTTATAAAGGCATATTTTTGGCTCTTCAACAGGGTATCCACGACATACAAATTGAATGCAATAACTTGCTAGTTATCAAGGCAAACATTGGAAAATGGCATCCCCCATGGCAAATACAAAACATCCTATAAGACATGTGTATCCTCTTGTCAAACCTCAACAACTGGACAATTAAATATGTTTATAGGGAAGCAAATCGTGCAGCGGATTGGATAACTAACCTAGGACATTTAGTAGTATATTTCATGGTAATCAATGATTGTACTAGTTCAAGTCTAGCTTCTATTTTTCAAATTGACACTTAGGAGTTCCCCTCATGAGTAGGGTCTCCCAATGTTTCTTTCTTCTTACTTTTAAAATAAAAGAAAAAGAAAAAAGAAAAGAGAGAGAGAGAGAGAGAGATATTTTCTTATAACTTCTCTTCCTTTCGTATCAACTTTGATACCACTTTTCAAACCGAGAACATGAGAAGAGTCATTTCTTTTTCTTCTTCCCTCCACCAAATCCACTCTACCAAAAAAGCCTATTATTGATTTATTTTACTGACTCAAATTATTAATCGCTCCACTCTACCAAACATTGCAATGTAGTGGACAAACATAGATTAAGAAATATTATATAAGGATCAATTAAAGGGTTTAATAATATAAATTATATAGTTTATCTAGCTATGTAAATTTAATTGTTATTTTCAAAGAGTAATAATGGAAATAAGTTTAACAAGTGTGAATTATTCACATATATTGACTTACTAGAGCTTGTTAGATCTTATTAAAACTAATATGAACTTACTATGACTAATTTAAACTTATTACACCTTATTAGAATTTATTTTAGTTGTAAATTGAACTTAGGTCGTCCTTATTACAAATCTTTTTTAGATTAATATGACATTCTTTTTCCTGAATTTATCATATTCAAGGTTATCTAAAATTAATTTTTCTAAACTAAGTGGATATGAGATGAACAAAGTGGGGCCTAATTGAGGTTAATTGAACTACGGAGAGAATTGAAACGTGTAATTTGGATACATAGGTCAGAATAAATTATAATTTTAAAAAAAAAACATTGTGGATCGTTTTTCAAATAAGGTTTGTCGAATTACCCTAAATTATTGTTTGAAAATACTAGCTTAGTATTAGGGATTATTCTCTTATCTCATCTTCCCTTCCTTTCTAGTCTAGGGCTGTCTAATTTTTTGACAGTTTAGGCCAGAAATAGTCTAATTTGTTCAAAATGTAGACGATTTTCAACCCTTCCCCCTTAATTTTCTTTAGTTTTGCATTTTAGGTTTCAATAAATCTACACAAGTACTGTGGATGTCCGTCCGTTTCCCTATGGTGGAGTGTCTCCATGTGATGGAGTCGTTAGTTTTTGTTAGTTTAGTCCATTGTTTTTGTTTAGGGTTCTTTTGTGTGTCAGGGTTTATCAAAAAGGTGATTGATCATTTGCCCTATCAGTTCATTAGTAAAGATTTGTTCAAGATCGCAACGGTTGTCGAATTTTCAGATATGTTCAAGTGAATCAGATGAAAATCATCTTTATAGCTACAACAAATTATTAGATCGTATCTCCATATTCCAGCAATGTGTCCGAGAAATGTACCATAATATAAGATCTATTCGATCAATAATCGTAACTTTGATGAAGAAAACCCCTTATTTAATTCAATTTTATGTATTCGTTAATTTAGATTTAATTTATATATGTCGTATGGCTTTATATTGATGAATTGATTTATTTTAAATTGTTAAAAAAAAATTATTTGAAAGAGGAAAATGTGGTGATTAAGGGCTTGTTCACTTCAGCTTAATTTCAGTTCAGTTCAGTTCAGCTCCAATCTGTTTAATTCAGTTCAGCTCAACTCCTAATTTCCTTTTCTAATAAACTATTCATTTCAGCTCTATCCAGTCAAGTTTAGTTCAGCTCCATTCAGTTCAATTCAGTTCAGCTCCAATCAATTTAGTTCAGTTCAGTAAATGTGAATAGGCCCTAACTATAAACAAGAGGACTAAAAGTTGGTATAAGTTTGGATGTGTTTGGTGAAATGCTAAAAGATGTAGCTGATTGTGTTGGCTAATCTAAATGATTATATTAACTATTTTAACTAGCTGATTGTATATAAAAGCGATTAATGATTGTATATAAAAGAGTATTTGATGATTGTGTTGATTGCTTAAACTCATTAGTTTGAGTTTGCAAAATGACCAATAAACTAATTGACGAGGTAGGTAGTTGAGACTTGAGATAGGGCTTTAGATTAATTGGAGGTATTCCATGTAAGTGTACGTAATCTAACCATAAGATATTAAGTAAGCTAATGAAAAAGCTCCTAAAATGATTTTTTATTTATTTATTAATTTTTTTTTTATTATAAAACTTATGTAGTGGTATAAGTTCTTTGAATCATCAGCTTGATAGTTCTCCATCATCAAGTACTCTAAATTAGCTTATTTAATAGTTTATAAACTAATATTAGTCAAATAAGCTAATTTTTCCAATAAGCTATCTTCAAAACACATCATTTATATTATACTCTTAAGATAGTAAATAAAGCTTAATTTCTCAAAAAAAAAAAGTAAATAAGCATAAAGAAATGATGGGAATAATAATAATAATAATAATAATAATAATAATAATAATAATAATAATAATAATAATAATAATAAAAGACTTTCTTTTAGAGACGGAGTAATATAAAAATCAGACGAGATATTAGAGATGGAAAAAATAAAGTATCTCATCACTATTATTGTACCCACAAGAATTGTATGAAGAACAAGTAGATTAAGATATTGAAATGAGGACCTCAATATGATTCCAAAATTAAAAAGGAAGGGTATAGAACTATAGATATAGGTTAAGGACTACTTTTGGAGCTATACATCAATAATAGATATTTTTCCTCTTCACTCACCACACGCCCATGCGGTGCCTCCAATTATTTAACAATGTCCGATTCATGTAAGCCAAATTCATATAATTTGGTAGTGTACCACACTTGTATTTGTTTAAGTGATAAGAAATCTAAGGGTTCTATACTTCTATCTCACAACTTTAAAGTATGACAAGTACTAACAAGTCATAATACCAACTAACAAGATTAATAGGATTTATAGCATTTGGTAAAGTACTTGGGATAAAATATATTTTTAGCCTATTATAGCCTCAACCTCAAATAATTGTTACCCCCACTTTGAAGATTTCCACAATTCGAAAATAGCATTACATGGCATAAATTGGGGAAGTGCAGTAGGTACAACACACTTTAGTATTTGTTGATATATTGGTCACATTTCTATTGTATAGCAGTATAAGTAAGCACAACAAGACATGACAAGATAAGACAAATCATACTAAATAAAACTTAACTTTAGTATGCAAGTATGAGATAGTGTTACGTGGGATGGGATCTATTAGGCCATGTCTATGCCGCCCTTTATAAACACTTTTACTTTTTTTGGAATAGAAAATATCAACTTAACACATATCAAGTGAGTTCATTCACAATCATATCTAAACACACCCCTATTCAAAAAAAAAAAAAAAAAAAATATCTAAACACACCCATGATCACCTCCACTTTGTTATTAATTCTAAAGTTGGTCATCTTTACCCCTACTTGGGCATCATTCTTATGCACGAACATATTTTTGAAATTGTCTTAAGACAAAAACAAGCAAGTCGGCCTTTCTAAGTTTAGTGAATCTTCGAATTAATAAAGGTAATATTAGATTTTAATTACTCAAAACTTAAATTAATTCATAAATACAAGCTTTTATTGTTAATTGATACCCAATTTTTATTGTTAATTGATACTCCCTCCATTTCACTTTGTTAGTCTCATATAGAATCAATCACAAAAAAATAAGAGAATGAATAATATTTGGAATCTTACATTTTAGTACAAAAATTGTTTAATTAGTTCTATCTTATTAAATGTTCTGATTTTTTTCTTCGGAAATACAATGCTTGTTTAAGGCGAGGAATATCAATCAAATGCCATGTCATCAATCCACTAATGGGATTGATGACCAATCAAAATATGTAATTACTGCCATGTCATCAATCCATTAATGGAATTAGAAATTATAAGACCGGATTAGGAAAATAAAATAAAATAAAAAAGGAATAGATTCAATATGGGTAGATCATTTTGAAACGCCCAAAATAATATATGGGACTAACTTTATGAAACGGATGAAGTATTTTTCTTAAATTTTTTTAGAAACATTCCAAATATAAATTAGCAAAAACGAAGGATTTATTTCTCATATCTTGAGCTTAACCTTATTAATCTACACATGATGGGCTAAAGATATTATACAACGTTGCAGCCACTCTATAGGCTCCATGGCCTCCATCCAACCTCAAGATAAAAGGAAAAAAAAAAATACAATATCAAATAATTAGAGTAAATTAAATTAAAATCAACCATTCACATAATCACATTTGTCAAATGCTCAGGCCTCTAGCCTCAACCATCTGACACGTGGCAATATCCCAATTTTTGTGGCATGCAATTGGCTTGCCGACTTGCCTATTGCAACCTTTTTCTACGTGACTACGTGCAACTACAAATCCTCTATTATTTATAGCCAACACTATCGATCGTCAACTTTACCAACCAAATTATTTACTTCTCTTGTAAAATTAGTTTGAGTTGAAATCTTATCTTATACATAGAAAATATAGTGAAGCTAAGTTTTAAGCTAAAAATATAACAATGGCTTCGTCTATGTTTGTGGTGAATAATAGCTTTTCTAAGGTCTCAAGTGTGGGTTTACCTCCTCAAGTTTCTAGTCTTTGCCCTGACAAAGTCTCACGAGTTTGCTTCCCTTCCGTCTCTCGATTTAACACGGTAATTCACGTTTATTTACCATATAAATTTCTTAATTATGTGTCGATTATTATACATAGTTAGACAAACAATTTTACCATGAAATCATTAAATTATTAGAAGGTCTAGGTCGCTCATATGTTATTGGACTAAAAATATAATTTTGAAATACACCATTTTTTTTAACTTTTACACTTTATTACTAAAAGTCTATAAATATGTGTAGATAAGTGTTACAGTATTACTTGAAACATAGTATTTGTATGTAGACATACTTACCCACTATAAGTCAGGTGTACGACTCGGGCCGGATCCAAATGTAATCAGAGCAAAGCTCCAGTGAACCGAGTTAGCTTTAAAAAAAAAAAAAAAAACCAACCCAATGTTTGATTTTGATTTTTTATTTATTTTTTCCAATGTGGTTCTTGCTTACAATTTTGGTTGATTTTAAATTTTAGGCTTTCTCAGTTTCTTGGGACTAGATAAAATTCTAGCTAAGTTCTTATCGTGCTAATGACACATTTATTTTTCATTTTTGAGCTTAAAGTATCTACACTAATTTTATAAACTAACACTTATAATTTGTGGTTTTAGAATCAATTTCCCAGAGTATGTGCTGGGGGAGACGAAGAGATCAAGAAGTACACAGAAATAAAGCAACAAGCCAAAGAAACCATCGACAACGTTATAGAGGGCACCAAACAAAATGCCGAAAAGACCGAGGATTGGGTAAGCAAGGGAGTGGCCGACGTCAAGGAAAAGACCGAGGGTGCGGCGGAATGGGCAGCCGATAAGGCGAAAGAAGGGGCCGATAGCATCGGAGACACCTTGAAAGAGGCAAAATCAAAGAACGAGGAATCGGCGGAATGGGTAGCCGATAAGGCCAAGGAAGGGTTTGAGCAAGTCGGAGACAACTTGAAAGATGCAAAAGAAAAGACCAAGGAAGCTTTGCAAGATGCATTAGACAAAAATTAAAATATACTTGTATGTTACATGTAATACTTCTAGGCTTCTAGCTAGAGAAGATCTTAATTGTTCTAAAACAACAATAAGAAGACTCTTTTGAATACAACAAGAAGGAATTTGATTTCGATGTAGGATGTTAAATTGTTAATCCAAAAAATTTCACTACCCATTCATGTATGATAGAATATTGTCAAAGATTTGGACTCTTTAAACTCTTTTGTAACACTATTTTATTTTTATTTTTTTAGGGAATTTTGCAACACTACTTAGTAAAGATATCACCATGATTGAATATAGTTTTCCATGTCGATTAATAAGGACAACCCCAACGAAAGCGAGAAACACTAGTAAAGGTTATGACAACCGTGGATATTGTATCGAATAACTTTTTGTTGGGATTTTTATTTTTTAATTTTTTTATTTTTGTGGAACAATTACAATCGATACGAAATGTTAAAATAATCACTACGAAAAGGTATTTTTCTTGTAGTGTTTGGCTTTTTACGAACAAATTAAACTGTCCCTTGTGTTGTTTTCAAGGTCAACTTAGCCATGAATTTTCATCAATCTGTAAAATTTACTCCATAGATATGTGGTTTAAGACGCATCTTAATTAGAGAGTGGAGACTGGAAAAAGTGATATATATATATATATATATATATATATATATATATATATATATATAGAGAGAGAGAGAGAGAGAGAGAGAGAGAGAGAGAGAGAGAGAGAGAGAGAGAGAGAGAGAGAGAGAGAGAGAGAGAGAGAGAGAGAGAGAGAGAGAGCTAAGTAGTCTTTAAAGGTTGAATGGAGCAATCATAAATATAAAAGTATATCTGCCCAAAACACATTAGTAACCTAAATTTAATAGACTATATATGCAAGTGTACAATCTAATAAGATTATCTTTTATTATGTAAGTGAAGGGGGAGTCTGTGGCGTCCGCCTAAAATGACCACAACACCCCTATTTCCTTATAATTGGAATGTTATTTAAAATAAAAGAAATAAAAAAAAAGAAAAAATTAATCAATCAACAAATAAAAAGGAAAAAGATTAATCAATCAGCAAACAAAAAGGAAAGATTAATCAATCAGCATATAAAAAAGAAAGATTAATCAATCAACAAATAAAAAAGGAATAATTAATCAATCAACAAATAAAAAGGAATAATTAATCAATCGACAAATAAAAGGAATAATTAAATCAATTATATTAGAAAATAAAAAGGAAAAATTAATCAATCAGAAAATAGAAAGGAAAGATTAAACAATAAGAAAATTAAAAAGGAAAGATTGATCAATCGGAAAATAAAAAAGGAAATATTAATCAGTCAACAAATAAAAAGGAAAGATTAATCAGTCAACAAATAAAAAGGAAAGATTAATCACTCTAAAAATAAAAAAGGAAAGATTAATCAATCAACAAATTACAAGGAATAATTAATCAATTAGAAAATAAAAAAAGAAAGATTAATCAATTGGAAAATAAAAAGGAAAGATTAATTAATCAGCAAATAAAAAGGAAAGATTAATTAATCAGCAAATAAAAAGGAAAGATTAATTAATAATAAAAATATATAGGAATAATTAATCAATTAAAAAATTAAAAGGAATAAATAATCAATTAGAAAATAAAAGGAAAATATTAATCAATTAGCAAATAAAAAGAAATATTAATCAATTAGCAAATAAAAAAGAAATATTAATCAATTAGCATAAAAAAGAAAGATTAATCAAGCGACAAGTAAAAAGGAAAGATCAATCAATCAACAACTAAAAAGGAAAGCTTAATTAATCAACAAAGAATTAAATTATACGGAGTATAAAAATCAATTACTTGAATTAAGTGCAAAAATAAATTAATTACATTATTTGTTTTATGTCTCTATAATCAATCTGTTCTTAAATAATTGAAAGCGTTTATTACTTCTCTTATATAATTATGTGGAGCATAATTCATATTTTTCAATTAAAAATTAAGATTATAAAAAAAGGGAATAAAATAAAATAAAAGCAAATAACATAAAATACTATTCTATCCGTTTTTAAATACTTGATCCACTTTTTGATTCTGGCCGTCTTAAAATACTTGCTGCTTTTCTTTATTTAGAATTCTTTAACAATATTCAATTCATTTTCTCTCAACTAATGGACCCAACTTAAATCATATTTTATTAATTTCATATTCCCTCCTCCAATTATCTCAACTGCTTTTGCTTTTCACAATTTTTTATTCTTTCACCTACATTACTACCTAAACTCCACACATGGAAAATAGAGCAAATATTTAAAAAGGGAGAGAGTATTCAAGTTACATTCCTTAATTTTTATACGTATCGGCCATTATTGCAGTTGATTTTTTGTTTAATATGGAATGAATAATTTCTTAAAACATCGCACGCATTGCGTGCATATACTGCTAGTACATACTACAACAATTACATTTATTTTTTAAGATTTTTTGTACAAGAGGAAAAGGGATTTTATTAAAAAAAAAATATAGTCAAACGACACTTACATTGAATTATAAGAAAACAAGAATTTCAACATAAGTACATAACACCTTCAAAAAACTAAAAACATCATATATTTGATCAACAATCGTCTTAATAAAAAACTTCATCTGAAGTAATACAATATAATATGTGAGTTAGCAATGATTCAACTTGAAATTCATTGATGATGCGTAGTCGTTTGAGTGAAAAATAATCATGTAGTCCTCTGGATTCTTTGGGAGATGAGACCCGGTCATACAAACAGAAAAATAAAATACACACAAGAGAAAAATCATCATTTCAAGGATGAGATGTATTTATTAAAAGCAATTAAAAGGATTTTAGGGCTTACCACCGGTGAAAACGCTGATGAAAGCCCCTATAAAGATTCAAAACTGAGACCAAGAGATCAAAAAAGATATGGTAGATTTGGAGAGAAAAGGGTGAATAGAAGGAAACCTTCAAAAAAAATAAAAAATAAAAAATAAAATCCTAGTAATGGAGGGTAGAAAAAACCCTCCTGAAGGAGAAACACTAAGGGAAACCAAGAAAAAACCTCCCAGGTAACTGTAACACCTCTTGAATAATTTATCATTCTTATAACTACCAAGCTACATATGTCACTAATGTACAAAGTTGTGGTCAAATAATTTTTATTTTTTAAAATAAATATATATGTCTGATGTCTTAGGGCCTATTTTGTTTGACTGAACTAAACTGAATATTTATAAGAGAAGGAAATTAAGAACTGAACTGAACTGAACTGAAAATAATCTGAAGAGAACAGACCCTTAGTACTAAATTCTCCTATTTTTGAAAAAACCCAATGCTCCTTCTCTTACCCTTTTTCTAAGTTTTTAATTTTTTTTTTGGCCGTTTAAGCTGGAAATAATCTAATTTCTTTGAAAATTAGACTATTTCCAACCCTTTTCCCTTATTTTTCTTTAGTTTTATAATTTAATTAGATTTCAATTAATAATATACACGAGTAGTGTAGATGTTTGTCCGTCTCCCTATGATGGAGTCGTTTCTTTTTGTTTAGGTTTTGTGTGTGTGTGTGTGTAAAGGTTTATTAAAAAGACAATCTTCTTTTGCCCTATTATCAATTTGTTGGTAAAAATTTGTTTGGGATCGCAACAGTTATAAAATCTTCAAAGGCGTTCAAGTGAATAAAATGAAAATCATTCTTACGATTACAACAAATTGTTAAACTGTCTCTCCAAAAATATTATATATTCTAGTGATATGTGCAAGAGATGTACCACATTACAAGATCTGTTCAATAATTGTAGCTTTGATGAAGTAAATTCTTATTTGATTCAATTGTATGTATCTGTTAATTTAGATTTCATTTGTAGATGTAGTATGACTTTTGATTAATAAATTGATTTAATTAAAAAAAATCTTTTTTAATTGGAAAAATTGCTCCCATTAATCTGAACTTTGCCTCGTCCGCCCAAATTAATCCGAACTTTGGATTATTATCTATTACTCCCAACTTTTGAGGGTATTAATGTCTATTGCACATAACTTACCTGCAACCGGTTAATCCGGTCAACATTTGTGTGTTAGATTTTTTTTAGACACGTGTCACTACATGAATGGTCAAATAAAAAAACAAAATTAAAAAAAAAAGCCAACCAAAACAGCAGCCAACCCTTAACGGCAGCCACCGTTAATGGCAGCAGGATTTGGGGAGGATAAAGGAGGGGAGGCCGGATTTGGGTCGGAAACGAAGGGGAAGGTGGCGGAAACGGCGGGGAGCTGAGGGGGAAACGGCGAAAACGAAGGGGAAGGGTAAGGGGATTCGGGTCGGAAATTATGGGGAAGGGGACTTTAAACGGCGGGGGAAAGGGGAGCGACGGAGGAAAGAGGGGTGGGGGAGGGTTTTTCGGGGGTGGGGAAAGGGAAAGGGTGAGTTTCGAGGGAAGGGGGAGGGTGGGCGGCGGTTTTTGGGAGCGAGGGAGGGGTTTTCGAGGGTGGGGGTGGGGGAGGGGGGTTCGAGGGAGGGGGAGTGCTGGGCGGTGGTTTCCGGCAGCAGGGGAGGGGTTTTCGGGGATGGGGTGATTTTCCAGCGAGGTGGGGGTGTGGTGGCAGCCGCTGGGCATGGGTGGTTTGTGGGTTTATTTATTTATTTTTTATTTTAAATTTAAGTCAACCATACGCTGACACGTGTCTAGGTAACCTACTACATCAGGTTGGATGGCCTGTTGGGTGCAATACAAATTAATACCCCCTAAAGTTGGGAGTGATTGATAATAATCCAAAGTTCGGATTAATTTGGGCGGATGAGGCAAAGTTTATATTAATGGGAACAATTTTTCCTTTTGAATTTACGACACAATTGCATATTTTTATTGGGCCGAACCATCTTATCCTTGGGCCTTAAAAATCTACACGTAAGTGGGCCTAGAGATTCAACAGGGATCAACCTCAAGAAAAAGAAAACCATGCAAAAATAAAATAAACCATTCCATTCATATGTGTTGACTGCTTAAGCCCCTTAGCCTCAACAATCTAACACGTGCCAAATTCCAACTTAACGTGGCATACAAATAACATGCCACCTTTTCTTTCCTCTTACAATCTCAAACCCTTTATAGTTAACATATCATCATCTTAAATTTCTTCAACCAATTACTAACAATTAGTGTTACACCGATAAAAAAAATAAGTTAAAATCTTATCTTATAATTTTGTTGAAGAAAAATCAAAGATAATTTAGCTAAGTTGTTGTAATGGCGTCTATGTTTATAGTGAAGAACACCTTTTTGAAGGTTACAAAAGTTGGTTTACCTACACAAGTTGCTAATCTTTACCCTCGTAAAGTCTCACGGGTTTGCTTCACTTCTGCCTCTAGATTTAACGAGGTATGTAATTCATGCATTTTTATTTACTTTGCACTTGTTGTATAATGTTTTTAGTGTATGAATTTCTTATGCACCCTTACCACCGCTAATTAGTATAGACTTGCCTACAAACTAGTGGTCAACTCATGGTCAACCCAGCTTAAAGCTTATGTCGCCGATGATTGATTGAGGTCCAGAATTATGTTCATACTCTATTAATCAAAATTTAAGATCGATGGAGTTTAGTATGTACTCTGTAATGTTCATAGCTAGAATGAAAACAAAACACGGCTACAAAAAAATGTCATGAATACTTATTCCTGTGTGATACGTGTAGATTATTTTTAAGCTGAAATGTTCATTACTATTTTTAATGTTGTATGACTTAATAAAATTGTTATAATTTGTGCGTTAGAATCAATATGCTAGAGATAATGAAGACGAAAAATCTGCTGAAAGAATCAGGCAAGCGCGACAAGTTTACGAGAACGACGAAGAAGCCAAGGAGGTAGAGAGGAAGTACTCCGAAATGAAGCAAAAAGCAAATGACACTGCCAACAATGTGAAAGAGAAGGCCAAGGAGGGTAGCCGACAAGCCGGCGAAGCATGGCAGGAAGCTAAGGACAGAGCAAAACAGGGCGCGGAGGCAGCAAAACAAAGGGCCGAAGAAGGCAAGAATCGTGCAGGTGACACTATGTACAATGCAAAAGAAAGGACTAAGGATACGGCGGATTGGACCGCCGACAAGGCGAAGGAAGGGGTTAATAGAGTTGGAGACACAATGCAAAATGCAAAAGAAAGGACTAAGGAAACCATGCGAGATGCAAAAGAAATGACCGAGGATACGGCGGGTTGGACAGCCGAAAAGGCAAAGGAAGGGGCGGGGAAGGTGGGCGAGGCGGTCCATAATGTAAACGAGAAGGTTAAGGAGACGGCGAAGGGGGCGTGGGAGACGGCGAAGGATGCTACACAAAAGGTTAAGGAGACGGTGGTAGGGAAAGATGAAGAGAGCAAGAGGGTTGATGAATATTTGGATGATCATTTGCCTAAGCGTCCCGGGGATGTTCGTCGGGATGAAAAAATACGTGGTGATCATCCTTAAATTAATTGTATGTGTAATGGGTTGATGGCTTGTGTTGATCTAAATGCTTTTGTGCTTTGTGTTGCACTTGTCTAGATAGGGAAAAAAAATATGGCCCATGCTATGTGAAATTGGTCCAAGTTTTAACTTTGGATATGATCAATAATTTGGGACCTTTTGATCAATGTATTTTGCACCTTAGCTTGTATTAAAATATGTTCCATTACAATTTTCTTTATAGTATTGCTTTAATACTATACAATATTATTATGTTTTCCATTACGTACCTTAGCTTGTATCTTGTGTTGCATTTAAATTGGGACTTTTTTATGCTTACCTATACGACTCTTTTGAGTCCTTAATTAATGGCTTTATACTTATGGATGTGTTACTTTGACATAAGGTCAAATTAATTTTCATTCACTTTTTAACTTGTGAAACTTTGAACCAACTACATTTATTTTTTAGTTAAAATCGTTTGACTTTTACACTATTTATAAATTACTACAATAATATAATAGGATGTTTCTACTATGGTCACTTTTATTATGATCATTACTATTCTTAAATCTTATTGGTTGATTTTTCCTTTTTTTTTTAAAAATGCTTGGTCAAACTTCTTTTTTATTTTATTATTTTTTAAAATCATTTTCTTTTTCTAGAAAATAATTTTTGATTTTTCAAAAAAAAAAAAACATTCTAGTAATTATTTTATTAAAATCAGTTTTATTATAAAATCTGAAAATAAGATTAAATTAAAATAATCAAACATCAAATTTTTTTTTCTTCATTATTCTTCGTTATTTTTCAACATTCTTCGAAGTTCTTCATCCATGGATGAAATTAATCACCAATTCATGATGTTTGTCTCGCAAACACAATCGCACATTGACAAAGATTAAAAATATGACCCGATCTACACAACATATGCAAAATTTTAAATTTTCCGAAATCGAGGTCATAGCAGAGCGAATTTGTGTTTGTTTTTAATCCTAGAATAATAGATTTTTATTGGACAATCTCAATTAAAGGATGCAAAAGTTGAGATCTTATGTAATAGAAATTAAAAATTTTAAGTTTTTCGTTAATGTGGGTTCGTCGGGAAAATTCAAGAAGAAACCGTAACATATTTTCTTCAAAATCCTGTTTGATCAAAAAAATGAAGATGAAATTTAAAAACTTGTTTTTGTATTAGGTTTTCACCAATATGCTAATAGGACATTACCTAAACAAACAGTTTTACTGTTTATTCGTTTACGACCATAAAGAGTATTATAATCATATTAAATGCTATGATTATGACATTTAATTTATGATTATATTCATGTTATCATCAAAGACATTCATTAGATTATCAATGCAAATTTAATTTAACTATAAAAAATTGATTTGAATTACATGGAAGACTTTAACATATTAATTATCAACAAAAGGTTATGACCGTGCACATTATAGGTCATTACATTATGAAACGATATAATCCAAGCTTATGTCATGAAGAACTATTTATTTAGAAATGTAATTCAACTAGTTAAATATCAACTAGCTTTGTGATTTTTGCAAATTCAAAAAATAATACTGTAATATTGTTTTCTAAAAAAAAAAAAAAAAGCTATTCAACAATTATATATATGGTTAACTTAACAATTGAAATCTAAATGTCTTTCAAAATTTGATAAAAGTTTTTCTAGACAAAACTTATGTTACAAATCTTACAATATGTCAATTTTAAATATCATGCCTTCAATAAATCGAGTTATTATAGTTAATTATTTATTATCATTAATTATATTCCATATATTGATACTATCCTTATATATTGATATTTAACTAGTTGGGTCACATTTATAAATAAAACTTCGTGACATAAGTTTGGCATATATCGTTTCATAATGTAATGACCTATAATGTGTACGGTCATACCTTTCTATTGATAATAAAAAATGTTAAAGTCTTAAATAATGTAATTCAAAACAATTATTAATAGTTTAATTTAATTTTTATTGATAATCTAATGAAATTTATTTGATGATAACATAAATATAATCACAAATTAAAACTCATAATCATAGCATTCAATATTATTATAACACTCTTTATGGCCGTGGACGAATAAACAGTAAACCTACTTGTCATAGGTAATGTACTACTAGCATATTGGTGAAAACCTAATACAAAAACAAAATTTAAAATTTCATCTTCGTTTTTTTGGATCAAACAAGGTTTCGAAGAAGATATTTTACGATTTCTTCCATGATTTGTTTCACGAACCTAGATTATCGAAAAAGTGAATATTTAAGATTTTCAACTACATGTAATCGCCAATTTCGCATCCCTTGATTGAAATTATTCAATTTAAATGTATTACTCTAGGATTAAGAAACAACCCACATAGATTCGAATGCGTACGAACACCAATTTTCAAATAATAAAAATCGCACATGGTGTGTAGATTAGGGCATGTATTCATTTTCAGCCCGAAGCGTGAGTTAATTTAAGAGACATAGATCATGAATTTGTTGTTAATTTCATCCATTGATGAAGAAACTTAAAGAACTTTGAAGAACATTGAAGAACTACGAAGAACAATTTTTTATTTTGATTTATATAATTTAATCATATTTTTGGATTTAATTAATAACTGATTTTAAGTAAATAGTTTCAAAAATTAAAAAAGGAATTTTGGAAATCAATAATTATTTTTTGGAAAAATGAAAAAGAATTAAAAATGGAAAATTCTAAAAATAAGGTTTGACCAAGATTTTAAGAAAAAGCAAAAATTAGCTCAAGTGGTTAAAGCTTTCCTCCCGGTTCCAAGAGAACTTGGGAGATTCTCACCCCCGCCCTTGTGGCTCTCTAAACACCAAAATAAAAAAAAATAAAAAAAATAAACTATAGTCATGGTCATAGTGAGAGTGACCATACTAGAATTTTTAAATATAATATGGTGAAGTAAAATCTTGTTTGAATAGTGTTAATGTAATTTTAATTTATAATATTTACTTTTTATAATTTTATAATGTCGAGAATTAGAGATATTAACTGTTAAAAAAATGTAAGCGTGATAAAAGTAATATATACTAAAAGAAATATATACTAGTAGAATGGTGTCAACTAAATAAATAAACACGGAAGGTAGTATATTTTTTGACACATTAAACGAGATGATATTAGTAGTTTATAGTCTTCCTTCCTTAAAGAAGAAAATCAACACGTTAAGATTATGTTTTTTTTACATCAAATACTCATCTTCCAAAAAAAATTTCATTGTAATAATTAACATTGACCTTGATGATAATCCTTATTGTTTGGGTCCAATTGAGCTAATTGGGCCTAGTCATTAAATGATCCAATATTCCAAGGTCAAGGCCCAAGCCTCCAATCAAGCCAAGTCAGCCATAAGTCAATTGGTCCAAATTTCTATGGTCAGTCCATGATTATTTGGGGCCCAATTGTTCTCCTCTCTTTATATGCAAAGGTATAAAAGCCTTCAATTACTTCATTTATGGGATATACACATAAAGCCTCAAGCATTAAATCTCTGGCATAACTTTCTCTCCAAGAACATTATCTGACTTCGGCATCGAAGGGGTCTTCCTCGGATCCACCCCCAAGGCCAGTTTACGTGTGTTTGCTGTGCAGGAAACCTTCGGCCCAGCATCAACTGGACCGGACAAGTCTTCGTCCACTTCATCGGACCTTCGGTAGGGTCCTATTGTTTTCATCCGAAACAATTTGGCGCCGTCTGTGGGGAAGACTTTCAAAAAATCTTTAAGCCAATCAAAATCATTTTGCAAAAACCTTAGTAACGATGGCTAAGAACCGCAAGAACAAAAGACTAAGTCAGGGAGTGGGTGAAAGGCCTAAAACTCCAACACCATCACCTTCGCCGGACCGGAACTCTTCGAAGGGTGCTAGTTCGGGGGGAGGATCGTACCGGGAGGATTCCCTTTCTCCCGTAATTCACAACTCCCATCATAGACCGAGTCCCCCTCGGTCTAACAGAAGTCAGTCCGATCGTAGGACTCAATCAGTGCCCCAAAGTCAACCTCTGACCATCCGCTCTCACTCTCACACTCAGCCGAGGACCCCTTTAACGGGGCCCAGCTCGGAAGAAGTGGCAAGAGCGCTCGCGGTGCTATGGAGGCGATGAGGTCACAAAATATGCCCCCACCTCGTGACCGAACTTCTCCGCATACCAGGCATCAACGGAGGAAGGTTGACCGAAAGGGGGGAAAGCCTCCTTCTTTCAGGGAGCTGGAAGAATGGAAGAAGGACACTTGGAGGACTGAAAGGGAGAGGAAAAAGAACCCTCACTTTTTTAAAGAATCCTCTACCTCTCGGCCAAAAACTCACAAGAGCAGCAGCTCAGCCTCTCGGCCAGAAACTGACCGCCGAGGGCAACCTGAGACTGTTCACCGAAGCGTTCTCGACCAACTCGGCGGCAGGGAACCGAGTGTGCATAGTCGCCTCTCATTCCCTGTAGCCGATTCTCGAACTTCCCAGCCAGGGACGAAAACCACTCTTACCTCTCTAAGAGGGCGGAGCGCGGTCCCTTCGGCTAGGAACAAAGGCAAGGCCGTGATGCTACCCACCAGTTCTCCATTCGAGCAATGGATTCTGGAAGAGCATGTGCCTACGGTTAAAATACCGTCGCACATTACATATGATGGAACTTCGGATCCGAAGGACCACATCGCCTCTTACGAGGGGCACATGCATCTTTGCCCAAGGTCCGAGGCAACCTGGTGCAAATATTTTCCCACCACTCTGAAGGGGGTCGCGCAAACGTGGATCTCCAAGGGAGGAAAGGAAGGCTCTATAACTGTAGGGAATAATTTCAAGCCTTAAAAATCCCACTAGCTTGAACCCCACTGTGATCATACACTAAAGTACGGTGGCGTCCAAAAGAGAAGAAGATAGAGCGAAAGAGTCGCCAACAAGTTTTTAAGGAACTTGTAAACCGTTCACAAGGTGAAGGTTACACCCCTTAACGATCCAAGAGATCGCCAACTCCATAAGGTCATGAACCAAAATAGGGTTCGGGGATGATGGTACAAATCCAACCTAAAAGAGATTGAACCTGCCTTAATAATAGGCCTCTACTTTATTCTGCTCGTATTCATGTGCGCTTTCTGATTAACATGCAATCAATAGGATTAACCCTAAACCTGTTTATCTATGTTGGTTGAATTTAATGCACAAATAAACTATTATTGGTGATCACTTGAATTATAATCAAATTAGCCCTAACAAGATTATTAATTATCTTATTAAGCGTGATTG